TTACCTTTCAAAAAGTCTTTTATATTCTTACGAAATGGGTGATTTATTGATAAGAACCGTCTATGACAATCAAAGTGGCAAATTTTCCTCCCATTCTTGAGATAAAATGCTTTAGAGTTCTCCATGCATATAGGACAACTTAATCTACCTGCCGTTGACCAGCTCGACAGCATACCATAGGCAGGGAAGTCATTGATAGTCCATAACAATGCACCTCTTAAACGAAAGTTCTGTTTTCTAGAAATATCATATGTTTGAACTCCCCTATCCCACAATAATTTCAAATCATCCATTAAAGGCTGCAAATACACATCAATCTTACCTTTTGGATTATCAGGACCAGGAATGATTATAGTTAAGAACATGTATTCTCTCTTCATACACATTCCAGGAGGAAGATTGTAAGGTGTCAAGATCACGGGCCAACATGAATACACCTTGGAGTCACGGTTGAATGCACTAAATCCATCTGAACACAAACCCAATCTCACATTCCGTGGTTCTGATGCAAAATCAGGGTGTTTTTTTATCAAAATGCTTCCATGCCTGCCCATCTGACGGGTGTGTCAGCACCCCATCACGTCTATTCTTATGGTGCCAGGTCATATGCTCCGCAGTTGCATTAGAGGCGTACAATCTTTGGAGACGGGGTATTATAGGTAAGTACCACATTTGCTTTCGCGGGATCAATTTTTTCCTTATTTTTTTAGAAGTGGTCTCTTTAAAACGGGCTTCTCCGCAAAATTTTCATTTTTCTTCATTAATATCACCCTCATAGTATAGCATACAACCACCAGGACAACAATCAATCTTTTTATACCCACATCCAAGTTGAGACACAAGTTTTTTTGTTTGATAGAAATTATCCAATATCCGATTACCAGATGGCAACACTTCTTTAATCAATGTGATTATCTCATCAACACATGCTGCTGGAATATTATAGTCAGATTTTATGCTTAATAGTCTAGCTCCAATGGATAACACAGAATGATCTTCACATCCATCCCACAAAGGAGATTGAGCCAAAGACAACAAGTCAAAGAACTTCGCACAACTTGGATTAGGTTCTTGAGGTTCAGGATCATCTAACAAACTAGGTCCCTCAGCATCAATAACCATTTGCTCATATGCATTCAAATTATTCATCGTTGGTTCATCTTCATATTGTCCAACCGGTGGTATTTTTTCACCATGATTATGCCAATAATAGTAATGTGGTTGAAACCCTTTCCGGTATAAATGTTGTCTCACCTCATCAGGCTCATAAAACTTCAAACACTTACATTTTAAGCAGGACATCTAAACTTTCCATCACACTTAAAGACATCAAGTTGAGTAGCAGCTGAAATGAATTCTTCTACTCCAAATATGAACTCATGCGATAATTTATTTTGTCCACGATCTTTCCTAGTATACATCCAACGACGATGCTCTGGAACTTCCATCTATTCAAATAATATCAATACCAGGAAAGAAAAAATGGCAACCACGCACATAGAAAAATTGTTATAATTATTAAAGTATGATTACAGAAAAATTTCAGAACCCTAATTATAATGCCTGAAGCTTTTGTGTAAAAGATAATACCCATAATCCATAATCCAACCATGAAAATTACCAATATAGAGAATTATAAATGCAATATAGAGATAGAAGAAAGAAAATGAGAGAAAAAATAAAATAAAGAACAAAAAATCGAGGTTACCTAAGACAATTGATAAAGAACAACAACGAGATTGACGGCAAACAAATGCTTCTAATTGATGGTGAAGATATGCTTCTAATCGAATGTGAATTTCTGCTCCTAATTGACGGCGAATCGCTGCTCCTAATTGACGGTGGTCGGCTGCTTCGAATTGATGGAGAACGGCGAGGGATTTTCAGTAGGCGGAAAATTGTTGCTCCTAATTGGCGACGAACTGTTGGTTCTAATTGATGGAGAACGACGACTGATTTTCAGGTGAGAGATGAGAGATTTTCAAGTGGCATCGAATTTGAGATTGGGGAAATTTTTCTCCATTTTACAGTAGGGCTCAGATATGTTAGACGTATGGGCGAGTGTTATTTCTGAAAGTTTTTTCAATGAAATTTTCCAACAGTTTTAATATTTGTTGGAATATTCCAACATATAATTTTATGTTGTTGGAATCTTCATTGGAATTTCTAATGAAAATTTTTTCTGTTGGAATTTTCCGTTGGAATTAAGCCTTCTTCTTGTAGTGGGTATATAATCTTGAATTATCATCATTTCTCATTTTATAGTAATAAAGTGTGTGTTTGACCAAGAGTTGTAAGATTAAAGATATAAATCAATAATAAATAAATTACACATTATTATTTGAACGTTTCTTCTGATTTCGATGAATTTAGTTGCAAAACCGTAACGTTTAATAATATGTGGAATTCTCTATCACTAGCTCTCCCTAAACACTAGAAACCAATTTTCGACATTAGATGAATAATCCTCAAGTCCGACCCTCTTAATTTCAAATTTTCAATATTCGGTGATAGATAATTTGACGAATTTCTTCAATCTCCAACTAGCCTTGGCATTAGAGTTAGTAAGGAGATGCTAAATGCGTGTGGTAAAAAATAAAAAAAATAAAAATTAAAAAAGTAAAAAACAAACAAAAAAATGCGTGTGGTATAAAGAAACAAAACAAAATTTAAGATAAGATTGAGGTTCTAATTTGTGACTCAAATTCTCCTATATTTGTTTCCTAATAAAATTATGAAATCAAATCAATTATTGTGCGCTGGTGTCTATACAAGACTACCATTTTGTCAACACCTCAAGAAATTTTTTTTTATTTTATTTACTTTTCTTGCAAAAATTAGATATATATACAACTTTTATGGTCTATGGTGTTGCATGCATTGAGAGTTATGCGTCCATAATATAAATTTTTAGTTAATATTTGTCAACCATTAAACAGGGATGGGTTTTGACTGGTAGCTTAATAAGTCAGAAGCCACCACATGCTAACATGAATTTTTTTTGGCATCTTTAAGGTTTCTTGAATCCACATTCCACACCAAACCACACCGTGATTTACGTTAAGTCATTTTCATAAAAAAAAAAAAAATGGACAAAATAATTAAGTAGTCATTTATAATCAAGTAGGATATATTTTTCAATCATTTTATGTTTCCTTTTTGAACAATTTATTAGCCAACCAAAACTCATATTGTACCTTTAAACTGCTCGTTGTTAATTTTTTTCTTGTGGCATGTTATATTCATGTTCCCTAAAGAGTTGATTTTTGTGTCTCACTCACATGCTATAATTTAGCAATATCTATCTATATATGAACCAAATTCAGTTATAACCATATATTTCAACAATGTTATTTTCATGGTCTTCATGAACTCGTTCAGTTTGTCGGACAAGCGCTTTAATTTTCGAGATTAATTATTTGATGACTAGTTTTATGTATACCTGATTTAAAGATTTTTTGATTAGTTATGACGCGTTTTCATTATTAGAAATGTTGTACGCATGATGACAGTAAACAAAAAGCCTGTCCGATTCATAATTGCCAGGAAAATATAAGTGGAAAAAATGTTGTGGATATGATATCGGGACTAGACTCAGCTTATATGACCATTCAATTCAAATTCGCAAAGCCAATGTTGATAACTACCTTAAATTGAAAATATAAGTACTGAGTATTAATTATGTTACTTGTGGAGCCTTATGGGTTTTTCAAATTCTAGATTAATATGCATGTATGTAGATTTATTTTTTAAAAAATAGTTTTTACTATTTAAGTTGTGATTTTGTTAGTTGGTTTAGTTACCTAGAGTATAGTGTGCAAGTTCCGCACATTACATCACTACATAAAAATATCATATTTCAACGAAAAATTTAACGATATTATATTCAAATAGAAATTTCAATTGTGGAGTTTCCGTTGGAATGATTCCAATAGATATTCTAAAGAAAATATTTTGTTGAATTAGTTTTTCATTGGAATTTTAGTTGGAATTTGATGATTCCAGCGACCATTTTTTCTAAAGGATTATTACCGTAGAATTTCCACGAGAATATGCAATTTTTGTTGAAATTTTTGTTTGCACCTATGTTTAACCTTTGAAAACTATCGTTGGATCATCGTTGAAATCCAACGAGAATTTTAGTGAAAAACTCATTTCCATAAAATATTTTCTTTTGAATATGTTGAAATTGCCGTTGCAGTTGTACTGGAATTTCATCATTTTCTTGTAGTTCATCTTGAATAAAAAGAAATAGTGAAGTAATAAGTATGATGTAAAATGACTTCAAATATACTTAGTATTTGATCCTGTGCCCAAAAAATAAAAATATAATTTTAAGAGTTATATATATGTGTATGTAATCTTTAAAATCATAAGTAATTAGATATGAGCATATGACATTTTATTAATTTTATCATTAGTAAAATGACTGACATAAATATAAAATATTTTAAATTACATAGTCAATCTTTATATTGCTGCAGTAATATAATTTTTGTAATTTTTGCTGATTATGATCAATTAATTTGATAGAATTATTACTATTATAACAATTGTGTATAAATTCTAAAGGATTGCATTTTTCCATAAAAGAATAACTAACTCATTTTAATAAAAACTGGCTTAACGAGCTGAAAAAAATAATTTTAAATAAATAGTTTGAAAAAAAATAATTAGAATAAAATATCATTTAATATGACTTTATGTAGTAATAATTATTATATAATAAATTAAAAAATATAATTATTTGATTAATGCAAAAAAATAATTTTTTGCCAACAATTATATACAGATATAGTTTTTTTTTTTTTTCAGATAAAATATATAAAAAGTAAAGATTCAATGATAGCCCTCTACGTAAATTGAATGTCATGGTTGTTGGCATGCAAATAAACACTTCAATCTAGTTCATAATTGACCTTAGGGATTAAAACTATTAACTTCCCCACCATTATGGGCTTTAATATGGTGCAAAGTTCCCAATTTCGTTGGTTGAATTTATTTGTCAAACGTACTCCCAAAATTTCAATATTTCCCCTCTCTCTGACCCAATATAAACCCCTACCAAATAACAACTTCAATTAATTCCGTCTCTTTATATACTCTTCCCATTATTAACAATCCTTTGCAACCGAAATAAACCCAAAAAGGACCAATCACATAAAACTTTCTATATTTTAGCCTTTGCAGTTTGCTCCCTAGAAAGGAAAAAGAATATAAATTAAGATAAAAGCGGAAGCACAAAATCCGAGTAAAAAATGGGAAACAGTTTGGGAGGGAAAAAGAGTGCGAAAGTGATGAAAATCAGCGGCGAAACTCAAAAAGTGAAGACCCCAGTTCGGGCCGGGTCGATCCTTGACACGTGTCCGGGTCACGTCCTGTTGGAGTCGGAGGCGGTTAAACATCACGGCTTGCGAGCCAAGCCGCTTGAGCCGCAGCAGGAGCTGAAGCCGGGTGGGGTATATTTCCTGGTCCAAATCCCAAAGGATGATGAGAACCGGATAGGCGCGAGGAGGGTCAGATCTGGGATTCAGATGAGCGCCAAGGACCGGCTCGAGAGCCTCATGCTGTCGCGCCGATCGGCCTCGGATCTGTCCAACGTGGCGGCAGCGGCGGTCTCGGCGGCAGATCTGGAGGAGAACGGCGGGGTAAGAGTGAGGATGCGGCTGCCCAAGGCGGAGGTCGAGAGGCTGATGGCGGAGAGCAAGGACGGGGCTGACGTGGCAGAGAAAATCGCCAGATTTTACATGGCCGCGAAAGGCGGCGCCGATGGAGTTGGTGGTGACGTCAGAAGGCTCGTCAAATCTACTCGGGAGGTTAGTGCCTCTGTTTATTCGTGTTTACACAAATTGCTTAATTAATTGTCTGGATTTACACATTTATCGTCATTAATTTCAAATTGCTTTTTTACTGCTTTTGATTTAAAAAGATGAAAAAGTGAACTGAAAAATGACCCTACGATGAGTAATAAAAATAAAGAAAAAAGCCAAGAAATTAATGGAAACGAGAGTTTTGGAAATTAAATTATACTTTTAGTGTTTCTGTAAATGAAAAATAATTGAAAGCAAGTGATGTTAATTAGTTTGTTTCGATCATTGCAGAGGAGAGTTGGATTCATGCCGGTAAGCGATAGAGAGATCCACCACTACCTTACAACTGCCTCATAGCTTCCCCACAAAGTTGAAACGAAATGCTTTGAAATGGGGCCAAAGTTTGTAGTTGTTAGACGGTTTTTTCTTCAAATTTGCAGCGGAAGTTCAGGTTCTCAGTGTCAGATAGAATACATTCCGTTATTTTTGTATGTGTAAAGTTTCAGTGTTAGATGCTGGGAATAAGAGTTTCTTGGAGTAATTAGATGAATTGTGAGATCGATGCTCACATGTTTTGCTGTTAATGGGAATTTTTATTCCACTAACTCATATATTAATTGTTCTTGATAATTTTCTTTTGTATCCTGTGCATCATCATCAACTTATTGTAATGATGACTAAAACTGAAACGTGATTGGTTGTGGGTCGCAACTAACTAGTAGTAATAGCAAATAAAAGACGAACCCTTAAGAAGTTTGTGATTGAATTGCAATTATTTTCTTTAATTGAAATTAAGAAAAAAGAAAAATAACAGGAGGAGTTTGTCAAGTATAAGGTCGGTCTGGCCCATAGCGGCTTGGCGATAACCCAGTGCCCAATTCAATGAGGGGTACAGACTTGGCCCATATAATCCCTTTCTATCTATATTAGTGTGTACCCCGTGCGATGCACAGGAACAATATTAAATTAACAATATTATAAATAGACCTCGAGTTTGAGTCAATGGCGGAAGTGAAAACTACTATTGATCGTATTTAAAAAGAAGAAAAAAAAATAATTATAAATAAAAGAGGAGGGTAAACAATACTTAATAATTATAAATTAAAGATTCGGGGTCAAACAATGTAAAATGATTTTGTATAAGAGAATATAAAAAAAATTGATTACACACCATTTCAAAATTATTATTATACTTTTTTGTATGGTTAGCGTAGAATATTTGTAAAAATATTAGTAATTAGACCGATGAAAATTAGTTTCTTAAAGTAGATAATGGATTTCTAGTAGTAATTATGAATTAGTTTCTGTTTTATTTTATTTTTTCTTTTTAAAGATAATGGATTTCTAGTAATAATTATGAATTGGTTTCTATTTTATTTTATGTTTTTCAAATTTGTATAGATAAGAGATTAGATTTTTTAAACACCTAAGATCGTATATAATGAGATTTTGTAACACAAGAGATAAGCTCGTGTAGATTTATACTAAAAATAGGAAAAAGAAAAATAAATATTTATTGTTAAAACAATAAACTAAGAAACAGGAAAAAGAGAAACAAATCTTTACACAATGAGCGGATTTTTTTGCCTATTCAGATTTGTCCAACAATTACTATATATAGGATATATTTAATGATTTTGGCGGGAAAAAGTTTCTAAATTTGTAAAAAAGTTATTCTTTTTATATAATGATAGATCTATATATATAATTGCTGACAAAATAATTAATAAAACCTCTTTTGTTTTCCCTTCAAAATAAGTTACAAAAATCTATCATTAATATTATGTGTTACTTCACTTTATTTCATTTTTATCTAAATGTTACAATCAATATTATTCAATTTTATATGTAATGTACTTTCTAATATTCTTACATAATTTTGGTAATTTGCGGTTTCTCACACACTTAATTATTTTATTTTATTTTAATTTTTATTCTTAGTTTGAAATTATATATTAGAAAATTTAATTAAACCGATTTAATTTAATAAAAATTTAGTTTTTTAAATTTCAGGTTTTTCTTTTGTGTTAAGATAATGTGTAAGAGAATTATACAATATTATTTTATTACACAACTTAACTTTACAACGAAATTTTTATCTTTATCCCCAACCCAACTCAACCTAAATATTTATTTTATTTTAGTTTATCTAAAAAATACCTACAAAATACTAAGCTTGTACCTAAATATTTACTTTATTTTAGTTTATCTAAAAACTTGTAAAAGAACAAAAAAAAAAATCGTAGAATTATTTTTGTGTTTGGCATAGGGCCTTATAACGTGCTGGACCGGCCCTGGTTAAGTGTAAATTAAATACTAAGAAATATGAAGAATGAAGTAAACATGCAATAAACTAAAATGATGAGTTAAAGAAATAAGAAAGATTCTAGTTCCCAGTATGTATCTAATTAATTTTGATATCAAACTTCATTATCTTCTGGAATTAACCGTAAATAGCAACGCTCTACTACCCAAATTTTCACATATTTAGCTGAAACACTCTCTTCGGTCAAATCTCTGTAAAATTTAATCAAACGGACAAAATTTTAAACCATGAACATGATCGACGATCCCCACCCGGCTTCAATTTCTTCTCAAAGTTGAGTTTTTTATGTACAAGATTTCAATACCTTTTCGCTTGGATATTGCGGAGGCGTGAGCTCGACCTTGCTTGTGGAGTTTCACTGGCGCTGCTCGATGAATCTCTACCAACATCCGACGGGAGTTTAGTTTTCGCCCTAGTTTGTATTCTTAGTTTCGTCGGGAGTTATTTTCACGATATTAGGATTCAGTTTTGGATCAATTGATATTAACTTCCTTTAAACTCGCCTTTACCGTAATTATTGTGGAATTATGTATTAGTTATTATAGTATTTTTGCAAATAAAATACATATCTTTGGTTACTTTGTAATAATTATATATGACCTGTAATTATGTAAAAAGATTGTAATGTATGATGCACTACGTAATTTCCTTTTTTTAATTGTATTTTGCTTATAATGCGGATCTTGTTTAGTTCAATTATTTATCTTTTAATTTTTAAGAAATGTCTACAAAAAAAAAAGATAAAATTAAAATAATACCCACCACTTTATTGGATAAAAGTTTGAGAGAATAACCGATAAAAANCATATATATATATATATATATATATAAAGGTTTGATTATTTTTTAAATAATAACTATTTCCCTCCAAAAAAAATCTATTTACTATTTCAGAAAATTAATTTAACAATGTATGATATATTTCAAATAATAACGTATAGAAATTGCGGCTCATTATTTAAGAAAATGATATAAGACATAAAAAAAATCATTTTTAAGGTACCTTAATTGCTCAAATCATGTGAATTTAGCTGATTTACCTAAATATGAAAATTTCGGCTGCAATATCAATTATGTGATTTGGTAAAAATCTTCCAACTAAATTGTGTAATTAATTATTTAATAACTGTTTTATATTTTTCGTGTAATTCTTTTGTGAAATATATTTTTAATATACCTTAATTACGCAAATTGTGTAAATCTGAATGAGTTGTTCAATCTGTAAATAATTACTAGAATTATGAAAATATCAACTAAAATAATCAATTATGCGATTTGCAAAAAAATATTCTAAAAAATTGTGTTAATGACAGTTTTTATTAAAATATTATTTAATAATTTTATTTATTTTTTGTGTATCTAATTACTCAAATTTTGGATAATTAAGGAAATAATTAGACCATAAAAATTTTATATTTTTAAGATACCTAATTACACAGTCGAGTAAATTTGGTGGATTTATTCAATCATAATTTTTATAAAATTATTCCAAAATAATTGTAGTATGACAGCTTCTATTTAATTATTTTTAATAACTATTTTTTGGGTCTTTTTTATTTTTATCTATAAAAAACGTGGGTCTCGATTTTGTTTTGTACACTGGACATAATGTTTTATGGTAAAACTAAATATCATTTTTTGTATTTTATCAATGAAGTATGAAATCGAGTTATTTGGTATACTATATATTGATCCAATATACCCACTTATGGTAAAAAATTGTATCTTAATAATTTTATTTTATTTTTTGATATTGCTAAGCATTTTACTCGATATTAATGAGAGAAAAATCTGGAGAATACTATAGTTTGTAAATGTGAGTGGAACATATCAAATTATTTCATATCGTGTGTGTGTATATATATATATATAGGTTTGTATTTACTTGAATCACATTGTAGTCAAATAAAATTTCTGAATAAAATTTTTAAAATGAACTGTTTCGAAATGGATATAATCTAATTTATTATTAGTTACTTGCACGGTCGTGTACCAATTTTAAATAGACATATTTAATGTAATTTTGCACAATTTATATTTCATATAACATTTTCAACAAATTAATATTGGTAAATTGTATTACATATTTATTTCATATTTCTAATTTATAAATATTATTTAATGAGTATTTTTAATTTATAAATATTAAAGAATATTTCTTACCCGTGCATTGCACGAAATTTGTACTATTTATTTCAATATAAACTCAAAAATTCTACTAACAACTAGCTATACTATTTTTTCAAAATTAACCAAACAAAAGTCAAAACATCATATATCCAAACTAGCATGTTCCAAAATATTATTTGGACGTCAAATAAACTCTACAGAACTTATGTGATGCCTATCTACACACATGTAGACACACAAATTGAATTCACGAGCATATCTGGAATTCCAGGATGGTGCAGAGAAGCATATTTCCTTATTCTACGATCCTCACTTTACAACATCAATGATAAAACCACAATTTCAATAAAATACAATTATCACATTTTCTATATAAAAAATTGAAAACAAAGGAAAAAAAAGAAAAAGAAGAAGAATGGGGAAATGGTACGAGCCTTACCTATTTACAGTGTTTTTCCACCGCAATGATACATGTGGGTGAACTCTTCCACACCAAACTCATCCCCAATAACTAGTGATTGCCAAACGAAGGGAAAAAAAAAATTAAAAAAAAAAATAAAAAAGGAGGAAACAAGATGAGTACTTAAGATGGCATTGCTTTTTTAGGAAGACCAGTGATCAGGCAAAGTAAGAAAATATGTTGTCATTGCCTTTCTGAATCTTTTCTTGTACTGTTTAGGGGAAATAATGGTGGGTGATGCATTCTTTGGGCCACCAAGTATGCCAGATGCCTTCACCCAAGTCTCCAAATGCTTGTCCCAAGTGTATTGCCTCATGAAATCAATAATCCCCATTACAAGCTCCTTTCTATCCTTGTCAACACCAACCAACAACGAGTAATCCATCACGTCCACCGACT